CAAGTCTCTGTGTTCAAACCACAGCACTGAAAAAAAGAAGAGAAAAACAGGAGACAAAGAAAGCAAGAAAGTACAGAAAAGTAAAAGGGTCATTATGGTACACAAAATAGAAAATATGAAAGAGATTTTCATAAAATACCAAAAACTTTGATCAACTGTCGTTATGTATTTGTAAATATTAATGTCTTTTGGATTCTCATATCCCAGAATTCCAGGGATTCTGGCAAGAAAACATGGGCCTAATAAGTATAAATCCATGTGCCCTGCACAAAGTGAATGTCTTGTGCGAGGTGGGTCCAGTTAGGAAGATGACGTGGGGTGTGTGTCTTTTTCACCCCCTCCGCTGTCTGGGGCCTCCATGTTCTGTGGCCTGCACTGGCACCTACAAATTAAGATTGCTCATAAAGTGAGGGTGCAGGGACCTCTGACCCCCTGTTCCCTGGCTCCATGGGCCAGGTGAAATCTTCGCAGGGTCTCTAGGAAGTCTCCATTTCCAGGGAAGATGGATTGCTCCTTTCATCTCCTCTGTGTCCATTGGCAGAATAAGTGCTCATCCCCTGACTCCTGGGGTTCAGAGTCACTGACAGGTTGTGTGCAATGACTTCTCTGAGAAGCTCTGTAAAATGTCTACTCTCATAAAATGGAAGACCCATATAAGAACTTGGATTTATTCATTTGCTTGTTTGTTTATTATTTAGTAGTACTAGGATTTGAACTCAGAGTTTTGTGTTTGCTAGGATATTACTCTACTACTTGAGCCAGGCCTCAAGCTCTTTTGGTTCTGGTCATTTAATTTATTTTTGTGCCAGCACTGGTGCTTGAGCTTGAGGCATGGGTGCTGTCCCTTAGCTCTTTTGCTCAAGGCTAGAGCTCTACCACTGGAGCCACAGCTCCACTTCTGGAATTGGACTTTTCCTACCTGGGCTGGCTTGCAGCCATGATCCTCAGATCTCAGCCTCCTGTGTAGCTAGGATTACAATGTGAGTCACCAGCACCTGGCAACCAAAAAATTCGATTGTGAAAGTTTTATGTGATGACACAAGCCTGTAATCCTTATCTGTCTACTTGGGAGACAGAGTTCAGGAGTAACAATTTGAGGACAGCTTTGTGTGTGTGTGTGGGGGGGGGTTCACTGGACTCCAATGGCTGAGTAAGGTGCACATTTATTGTCCCAGCTGCACAGAGTGCACAAGGGTTAGGTGCTGAGGTTCACATGGTCATGCCAATGATTCAGTGAAGCACAAACAGGAGGGTCACAGTATGGGTTGGACATTAAGCACTAGACCCTGAGTTCAAACTCCACTACACCAAAAAAATAATGTCAGAAACCATATAATGTTTTTAGCACAATGTTTAGATGAACTAAATACTTTGTTGTTGTTTGTTTTGGGTGGTTCCTGACTTTGCAGTCAGGTCACATGCCTCCAGCCTAGCTGTTTGCTGACTGTTGTGCAGATTGAGTCTGGCAAATTTTTCTGCTTGAGCCAACCTCAGATTTTGATCCACCATATCTCAGCCTTTTGAGAATCTAGGGTTATGGGTATGAACCACCAGTGCCTGGATGAACTAAATATCTTAAAAACACCTTTCTTAATAATGTGAAATATTTAGCTACTGTGTAAAAAATAGCTACTTTCTGTCAAATTAAGTGGTCATCAGCATAAATCTGTATAAAATCTATCGTGGAGTTATAGCTATTAAAGTAATTAAGATATCTTTTTCTAGATAAAGATTTAGGGAGAACTGTATCTAGATAGATACAGATATATTTACCTATCGATAGAGATATAAAGTTCTATAGATATGTTGATACAGATATAGATGTATCTGTCTAGATAGTTTAACTACCTTTTAATGGATATAATTCGATAATACTTCCTTTATGAAGATTTATCCTTAAGACCATTTAAATGAATTTGGTAGTATCTACTCTTCACACTGCCTAAGTGTTTCACATTATTATGAGTTAGTATCAAGATATTTAGATAACTATACCTGTATCAATGTCTATATTATCTATTTATATCTATATATTTACCTAAATAAGCAGGTAGAATAATAAATATCTGGGTAGAATAATAAATATCTATGTAGATAGAGTGTAGGTAGACAGATAAATAGGTAGATACATTTTTAATACTGTTCTAAAAGAAATTTGCAGAATACAAAAAGTATCTTAGTTTTATGAGCTTATGTGGAAAATATGTATTCTCTCTTAAAACAGGAGTCCACAATGACTTTCTTGATGAAAATAATGAGAACAGTTAGTCTGAGGGGCCTACTTTCTCTCTGTGGGGGTGACACTGGTGTTGAATTAAGATAAAAACTTTACCTCCCTAAGAAACAACTTTGGTGTAAAATCCAACACAAGACTTATGTGAAATTATCTGGCCTCGTTCTCACATTGCTACCATCCTTAAAACCTAATTTCTCTGCCTTCTAAATTAAGAACCTGTTTATTTTCATGGTCTCCCCTTAGAATAGCAGGGTATTCTAAAATTCCATAGCTCAGTGTTTTCCCCAGCAAAGGTTACCAATTACATTTATAATGGAAAATGTTTGCCTGGGACCCGATGACGTACAGAAATGGGCTTACTTAGCACTGTCATGAGGCCTGACTCACGCTTATAATTTCAGAGCAGAACAATTGTGGTTACAGAATACAACCACAGAAACACAACTAAGTGAAAAAATAAAAATAAAAAATCTTAGGCAATGTTTACAGCAAAGTAATTGTGATACAATGTATTCTTGTGTTCAAAATGAAGCCTAGTTGGGTATGTAAAACATGTATATCACATATATGAAGTATTTGTGCAATTATTTTTTAATTTTACTTTTTGAACTTCAAAAGTTTGTACAAGGGATTACATTTTAAGGTGGTCATTTAAGTGTTCAGGGCTTCTGGATCAGTCTTCTCTTCTATCTTCTCTTCTATCATTCTACCCCTACCTTGTCTCTTCTCTACACCCCGAGACTCATTTCACATTTCCCCCACTTCATTTTTGGAAAGTGGAAACAAAAACCATAGTCATTAAAAGCTTCATATTGATCAACATTTACTAGATAAGACCTGTAGCATCTGACTCTTTCTTGGAATTGGAAAACTAGAGATTATATTAAAAAAAATCAAATGAGCTGGTACCGGTGGCTCATGCCTGTAATCTTAGCTACTCAAGAGACTGAGATCTGATGATCATGGTTCAAAGTCTGTGAATCTCCAATAAACTACCAAAAAAGCCAGAAGTGGAGCTGTAGCTCAACATGGTAAAGTGCTAGAGCTTCAGCAAATGAAGCTTAGGGATATCATCTAGGCAAGCTGAGGACCAGCAATAAACACCCTCAAAAACAAAACAATACAAAACAAAAAACTCAAAAAATATATATTTAAATATACAGGTTTTTATTTTTATATGTATTTTATTCATATACTTAAATATATAAATATATGTACAGTTTTGGGTGTGTATATATAAATAAATTTCTGAACCTTTATTTACATATCACTGATAATACAATTTATTTTAAGTTACATAAAGCAAAGAAAACCAAAAAGGACTCATAACCTAAATTTTGTCTAACAAGTGATCAAACGTCGTCTTTACTTTGGAACATGAATACACAGGCATAGGACCTGCATGGTTTGGTGCCATAGTTTCATGATCTTCAAGCAAGTTATTCTTAAGTTATTGTGGTTTCTCCACCTTCGCTCAGAAAGTGTACTCATTTCTTCATTATGGATTACTTCCCATAAAGTGGAAATGCCACATCTCAGTTTGCTGCTTGCTTTACACACTGGATTCCAGAACAAACAAGACATGGATTGATTTGATTTGATGCACCATGAGAGCTGGGTGTAAAGTGGGTCACACTTGTAATTCTAGAGCTCAGGAGGCTGAGTGCTGAGGATCCAGATTCAAAGCTGCCCAGGGAGAAATGTTTGTGAGACTCTTATCTCTAATTTATCAGCAACTAGTTAGCAGTGGAGGGGTGACTCAAGTCATAGAGAGCCAGCCTAGAACAAAAATTACCAACCAGGAATGTAAGGAAGTTTAAGCCCTGGGTACTGCATATGTGTGCATGAGCACACACACACACACACACACACACACACACACACACACACACACACACAATGAAGTATGAGAAAAGTCTTTGCATACTGGAAAATACTGGAAAATATAATATCTAAGTGTAATTTCAGCGAAAAGCAAAATATGGATAGCTCACAATGAGCAAATTAGCAAGCATTTCAATGTATGTTTCATGTGCTTCCTTTTTATTTATCCTGTTTCCAACAGGGTTTAGATAAATGACAGTCCTTTAGGGGGAGGAAGATAGAATTTCACAAGCTAAATATGTCTTCTTACTTTTGAGAAAGCCAACTCAATGAAATCTACCCAGTGAAAAAATTAATAGTCTCACTTCTCAATCTATATAACATAAAAGATGCCAGGACACCAACAAAGACAATAAATTAGTGAAACTATTTAAGTATATTCACTATGTCATTTTCAGGAAGTTAGAATTTTCCCAAGATGTTGAATTATGTTGTTTTCTAAATATGAAGCATATCTTTCTAACAGAACACCCAAATAAGATTTTTGATATTATTATTTTGATTCTTCATGTCAAATAAAATGTTCTTATGTTTCCTTTCTCTCAGACTAGAGTACTACATAGAGTTACATTGTGAGCCAGGCGCCAGTGGCTCATGCCTCTAATCCTAAATCTGAGGATCGTGGTTCAAATCCAGCCAGGGCAGCAAAGTCTATGAGACTCTTCAATAAACCAACATAAAACCAAAAGTGGCACTGTGGCTCAAGTGGCAGTGCACTAGCCTTGAGCTGAAGAGCTCAGGGAGAACTCCCAGGCCCAGAGTTCAAGCCCCATGACTGAAAAAACAACAACAACATAACACACACACAAAAAACATTGTGATCATATTAATTTATGTATAACTTTTTTGAAAACAAACAAACAAATGTAATGTATTTTAGGGAAAATGTGTGAATCATCAGTCAATTACTGTGAATGCAACCCGTGCTTCAATGGTGGCTCTTGCCAAAGTGGCATGGATACATACTACTGCCATTGTCCGTTTGGTAAGTACAATTTGTTTTTAATAGGTAAATATATATATATGTATATTTTTTAAGTTTGTAATTGTTATTATAAAGGTGATATACAAAGGAGTTATAGTTACAGATGTCAGGTAAACAATACATTTCTTTTTGGACGGTGTTATCCCTTCCCTCACTCTCTCCCAGTTAGAATTTGCTTTTTAATGGAACAGGGAAAATTGTTCAGATTGGTTTGAGGAGGGAGGGATGGGGGCAGGGGGGGGAATGAGGGATAGTGGTGGAGGGGACAAGTCTGATTAAGATACATTATATACATAGATGAACATGTCAAAATTACAAAAAAAAACCTCGTACAAATAATTGATGCTAAAATGGGGGGAGGAATAAAATAAAATATCAATCTAGCTGTCTCCTGGTAGCTCATATCTGTAACCCCAGTTACTAAGGAGTCTGAGATCTGAGGATTAAGGTTCAAAGCCAGACCAGGCAGACCAATCTGTGAGACTCTCATTTCCAATGAATGAGCAGAATGCTGGAAGTGGAGATGTGTTTCAAGTGGTAGAGCACCAGCCTTGAGAGAATTAGTCAAAAGAGAGAGTGAGGCCTTAAGTTCAAGCTCCAGTATTGGCATAAATAAATCAAATATTTTGGCACACAGGCCAACAGCTTTGTTTCCTTATGGTCATCAGTAATTAAGAAGATACTGTTTTACACAGTGATTATAAAAATATAAAATTATTTTTTTGTCTGTTGTGGGGCTTGAACTCTGGGCCTGGGTGTTGTCCCTGTGCTCTTCAGCTCAAAGTGAGCGCTCTACCTCTTGAGACACAGCACCACTTCCAGTTTTCTAGTGGTTTATTGGAAATCAGAGTCTCACGGACTCTCATGATCCTCAGATCTCAGCCTCCTGAGTAGCTAGGATTACAGGCGTGAGCCACCAGTGACCATGTAATAATATAAAATCTTAAATATTCAGCACTTTAAAAATACTATTGGATATCCTCTTCAGTTATTTCTAGAAAACAGATCAATTCAAGAAAACTGAGTCTCATTTGTCTCTGGGAACATTGTTTTTTCCAAAGATTTACAGATATTTGTTTTTAGTCTACAACTTATTCATGAAATACCCCTCTGAGACTATTTGACATCATTGTCTATTTTTAATTTCTAGAAACAGTTAACATAGTTCTTTGCTTTTTCTTCCATTAATTAAACTACATGTATTAGAAGGGTTTAGTCATTTGACATTCATTTTCATGAAAGGCTCTTATTAGATAATTTGTGTAACTAAGAAAGATTTGTATTTAGAGTTAGGCACTGGTTGCTCATGCCTGTAATCCTAGCTACTCAGGAGTCTGAGATCTGAGGATCAAGGTTCTAAGCCAGCTAGGGCAAAAAAGTCTATGAGAGTCTTAGGTCCAATTAACGAGCCCAAATCTGGAAGGACAGCTGTGGCTCATGTGGTAGAGCACTAGCCTTGAGCAAAATAGCCATGTGAGAGCTCAAACTCCTGAGTTAAAGCACACAGACACAAACACAGACACACACAGACACACACAGACACAGACACAGACACACACACACACACACACACACACACACACACACGTTTAGACTAGTGTGTTCTCTCAAAGAGTTGTTCAAGAGAATTTTGCCCAAGTAGACAGTTAGTCACCTTAGTGGAATGAAATAAAGGATTATTTTTCCAGGTCTTCCCCAAATCTTACTCAACGCTGTGACTTCAAGGACAGCTTTGGTTTCAACAACACCATGATTACACACATTTGTGCCGATTCCATTGACTTAAAACTATTCACTTCACCACACACAGCCGTCTGGAATCATCTCCAGATGACCCACATTTTTCTCTGTTGTACATTTTACCATGGTAATAAGACCTGAGCAGCGAAGCTCATTTATTTTGGTTAAAAATATAACTTCATTTTGTAGTAACCAATAAAACGTAGTCATTCATTAAAAAACAAAAATTTATGACTCTTATCCGGTTATTTTTAACTATAACATTAAAATGGTATTATAGAGAAACAATATAAAGGTAATTGTGAACCAAGTTCATGTTACAATGATAGTGAGGTCCAGAAATTGATTTACCCAAAGTCAAAATAATGAAATTATAATTCAAGTCTGTCAAAATGACATAGTGACTAGATCTTAATGTTAGCAACCAAAAATAATAGCTAAAGAACCCTCCATTACAAATTTATTTTCTCATCTTAAATGTTTATAAGGCCGAGTGGATGGTTTACCCCCGTAATCCAATCTACTCAGGAGATGGAGATAGAAAGGCTAGCATGGAGGGGCTGGGAAGGTGGCTCAGTGGTAGAGCGCTTGCCTTGCATGCATAAGGCCTTGATTTTGATTCCTCAGCAACACATAAGCAAGAAGAAAAAAGCCAGAAGTGGCACTGTGGCCCAAGTGGTAGAGCGCTAGCCTTGAGCTGAAGAGCTGAGGAACAGCGCCCAGGCCCAGAGTTCAGGCCCCACGACCTGACACCCCCCCCCCCCCCAAAAAAAAAGGCTAGCATGGAAAAATGTTAGTGAGACCCTTCTCAACCAGCAAGCTGGGCAAGGTGGCATGTGTCTATAATCACAGCTACTTGGCAGCTTTAGGTAGAAGGATTGAAGTTAGAAGTCAGCCCAAGCAAATAGCACACTACCCTATCTGAAAAAAAAGAAATGAATTAAAACGTGCTAGGTAGGGCCTGGCTCAAGAAGGAGACTACATTTCTAGTAAACATAAGTTCAAACCCCCGTACTGGAAAACACAAATGCTTATTTGGTAGTAAAATATACACCAAAAGGAAATCAAGTGCCACTTACGTCTTCTGATGCCTCTTCATTTTAATGTTCTGGTTTTTTATGTTTCAATGTTTTAATGTTCTGCTTTCTCATATGGCCACAAGCAACCTTCATGGTTGCACTTTGGGAATGGTGGAAAAAGCAATTTGAGCGGAATGGGGAAGGATGACTGTCAGATGACTGACAGAGGTGTTTACAGTTTGAGAAATCCTTTTACAAAGCAAAATTAATTAATGGGAAACTGAGAGAGGGTACTGCTGCAAGACTGCTGCTACCAAATACCCCCATTTCTCCACACTGCCAATCACCCCACTTTTCCCCATTGCCAGACATTCCACCTCCCTCATGGCCAGTCACCCCAGGGACACAGAAACCACAACTATAAATTAAAGTGGGCACAGGCGGCCCATGTCCACTTTAATTTCTCCCTTCTATCTGCAAAGGCAAACTCGCTACTGCACTACTGGAAATCAGACATGGTCAGCTGACAAGCTAGGGAAGAAAACAAACACCTGAAATACCAAGTTTTAATTTGAGACTGCAAAGAGGGCGTTAAAAGAACAAGCATTCTCCTTCTCAAACTCAATGTGGGTGAACCACATAAATAATAAGAGTTGATGGAATGCCTTAAAATAGCTGTGGGTCATTACACATGCATCCCATAAAACTGTACTTTAACTGTTGTTTTTAATTTGGGAAAAATTTGCTCTGTTTACCTTTCCATCAGTAAAAAATATGCTCTTTGGATCTGAAAAGTATTTTTAGTGGCTTAGATTTTTTTTAAAAAGGTTTAGAAAAAACAATGTGCTTCACACTTTACAAGAGTTTGATTCTATGTAATCGTCAGTTTTTGGAATTGCTAAATACATATTATACATAAGCACAAATGCTATATATGTATATTCACATTGTGTACTTTATATAAAATTACTTCCATAAGAAATACGTATGTTTGTGAATATATGGCATTTGTTATGTACATGCACATAACAGCATACAACATTAGTGTGCATATATTATACATAATTATTATATGTTTATAAATTACTTTAATATAGAAAATTGTGGGTTCATGTCCTTCTTAGGGTAAATTTATAATTTCCTTTGACCTTCATTCTAGATTTATTTCATAGCATCCTACTTAGAAGAACAATTTAAGATGTTATTAATATATTTAAAGGCAAGAAACAACTTTTCTATAGAAACAATAAAAACCCTTAATATTTTCAAAGGCAAGAACTATACATTCTATAAATTCTATAAATATTTTATACTTAAAATATGTATCAGTTTGACTAGCAATGTAAAGCATCTACAGTATCTATCTATCTATCTATGTATATATTGTTTTTAAACTATTTTTATAAACAGTTGCAACACAATCAGAAGAAACCTAAAAAAACACAGGATTTTCTCTGATAATCTATTTCAGCCATGCACTTTATTGTTGCTTTTTATTTAACTTCAGTTACTGTTCCTGAATGAAGAAATAGCATGTATATAATATATATAATTTAAATAAATATATATAATTTGTTGAGGTTTTATATATATGAAATATAAATATTGTGTGATAAATATGAAATTATGATTTTAAAACATATCTGTACTATATTATATATATTTCTTTGAACTGAAATTAAAGTTTAAAATAAAGTTTTAGATAAGTAGATACAGATATAGGTAAATTGATGGATATGAATTACTTATTTGTAATGAATATAAATATTATCTCATCCTGGATAGAAAATTATAAAATAAATGACACCAGCTTTTATAGCAGCATGTAGGCTACTTGAGAGAATATTTTGATATAAAATACATATAGTCAATGTTACTAGACTACACCAGAATATTGGACTTCGATTTTTTTTCTGTTTTCCCTATGGAAAACAGACAAACTTTGAATACTTTGTTATATAGTAGTAATGATTTTTTGAGCTTAATATTCTTTTGATTTTTTAAAATTAATGCATTTATCAAAAAATTAAGCCAAAATGAAAATGAACAATTCTTCTCTTCACATGGGTTAATTTTCCAATCATTTTCTGTACACAATCTCTTAATATTTGTTGGAAAAGGACTTTTGGCAAAGCATTGTAATTTTTCATGTCACATAAAAGATCAGCGTAAGCAAATATAAAGGCTTTCACATACACAAACAACAAAAAAATGAAGTCATTTAAAAGTATCCTGTTGCAAATGATCTCTAAAGAGGGCATAAAATAAGAGATGGAATTTAAGACACTTAATGATTGCTTCCCTGATTCTGTGACCCTTAAAAATGCTATGTGTATGGGGACTAAATTTATTTAAAATCTTCAATTGCAGTAAAATTGTTTTTAAGAACCATGCACTATAAAGAAAGTCTCTTGGATACTACAATATATTCCAGTCTTACAACCACAAACAAACTCATTTTGAAAATGTTTTTGCAAGGACAAAGTCACTTCAAACATGTTCCATTACACAAAACCCTCACTTTAAAAAAAATGGGACAGAATTAAAATTATTTCCAATTCCATGAAAGTTTATCTTCTCTGGCTTAGGCTTCAAAGAGTATCAATTTGGTCTACATCATTTTAGTTCACTATTGTAAAATGCAAACATTTTAGTCAAAATAATTTAATAAAACATGTCTGGAATTTAATGTGTCGGATGTGTCAATTTCCCATATGCAGGTGTCTTTGGCAAACACTGTGAGCTGAACAGCTATGGCTTTGAGGAGCTGTCATACATGGAATTTCCAAGCTTGGATCCCAATAACAACTATATTTATGTCAAATTTGCCACCATCAAAAGTCATGCATTATTGCTTTACAACTATGACAACCAGACTGGTGAGAGGGCTGAGTTTTTGGCCCTTGAAATTGCTGAGGAAAGACTACGGTTCTCTTATAACTTAGGTAGTGGTACATACAAGCTCACCACCATGAAGAAAGTGTCAGATGGACATTTTCACACTGTGATTGCCCGGAGAGCAGGAATGGTAAGATTTCACCTTGCAATAATAATTTTATTGTCATATATCTGCTAAATTCATTCCTTAAATAAAGTATAAAAAAACCTACTAGTTGAGTGAAATTATATTTGCTACTTGACCAATTGAATTATAAACTTCAAATAAAGGCTTGCAAGTAACATTTTTCTTTTGCTCACGTGTCCCAAATAAATAACAAGTAATGGGGACTGGTGGACCACTACTGTAATCTTAACTACTCATAAGGCTGAGATCTAGAGGATCATGATTTGAAGCCAGCCCAGAGGGAAAAAAATATCCAGAGAAGGCCCTTATGGGATTTTGAGTCCATTTTTTAAATTTCATTTTAATTTTTTTCTACAATTCAAAACAAATGTTTGGTTAGGAACTGGCAAAATTATTACTCTCAAAACTTTTAGTCATGTACAGGACAGAAATTTCTCAATTAACATTGAAACTGGTAGAAAATTTTGACAGGAACATTTGATCCTGAAGACTGAATGACACGAGTAACTATTTGAAAAAATCATGAATTCAATGATTTAGTTGCATCTCAAAATGTTTTTTTTTTTAAAAGTAGCCGGGGGCCAGTGTTCTACAGTTCTGTAATCCTAATTACTCAACACATCAAGATCTGAAGCTCAGAGTTCCAGGGTAGCCCAGACAGAAAAGTTTACAACATTCCATTTCCAGCAAAAAAGGTAGACTGGCGGTGTGGCTCAACTGGTAGAGTACCAACTGAGAGTGAGAGTTGAGAGAGAGTGGGAGGCCCTGAGTTCAAGCCCAGGTAGATAGAAATAGAAATGAATTCTGGGCAGAGCTGGCCAGAGAGGTTCCCAGGGTCAGAGTTCACCAGGGACCCACTGGTGACAATCTCATTCTCTTTCCACAGGCAGCCTCCCTAACTGTAGACTCCTGCTCTGAGAACCAGGAACCAGGGTACTGCACCGTCAGCAACGTGGCTGTCTCAGATGACTGGTGAGTGAAATTATTCTTTAGAACTTTATCTTACTTGAAATTTTAAACCACATGCCTTTTAAGTAATCATATTTTTCTAAATATTACATAAATAGGTAAGATAATTCAGTCTCCTCAAAGGGATTTTCTTGTTGTCAATGAAAATAATTACAACTATAATTCTGTGTCACTTTTGTGTATTTTAAAAAAAGACACTATAGGAGAGTGATGAGAAGAGTAAAATGAAATAAAACAAAGAAGCTTAATGTTGGTATGGCATAGCCACAAAACACCCAAGCCCTGAGAACAGTGTGGGTTGGGATGATAAGTCTTTTAAACACATTATCTAAAAGACTGTGTGACAATTAACATACTTTTCCTTAAATTTAAAGGCACCAGAAGCTTATAATATAGCATTAGCTTTTCAAAAACAAGAGTGAGAGCAAAACACTCAAGGCTCATGCCTGTAATCCCAGCTACTCAAGCAGGCTATGATCTTAGGATGAAGGTTCAAAACCAGTCCATGTATGAAAGTCTGTGAGATGCTTATCTCCAATTAGCCACCCAAAAAGCTGGAAGTGGAGGTGTGGCTCAAGTTGTAGAGTCCCAGCACAGAGCAAAAAGGTCAAATGGGACCCAGAAGCTCTGAGTTCAAGTCCCAGTACTAACACACACACACACACACACACACACACACACTGTTAGGTAAGGTGGAGGTGACAGCAAACACAGACCTCTTTGTGCTCTCTCTGGGGTACACACATGTACCTTTTCCAGACAACACACTACTAGCCAATTCTTGTTAATTCAACATGGCGACACATGTCAAACCTGCCATTGGCTTTTTGGTGGCTAATAGGTGATGAGTCCCATGACTTTTTCTGTCCAGGCTGGCTTTGAACTGCAATCCTCAGATTTCAGCATTCTGAGTTGCTAATTCCAGCCATGAGCCACCAACACCCAGCACAGATGTTCTTTGGAAATGAATTGTTTAACTGGAATCTACTTGGTTGTCACAAGCAGCTCTCCTCTCCTTTCTCACTCAGGACCCTGGATGTGCAGCCCAACCGCGTGACCGTGGGTGGCCTCCGATCCCTGGAGCCCATCCTGCAGAGGCCTGGGCATGTGGAAAGCCATGATTTTGTGGGTTGCATCATGGAGTTTGCAGTCAATGGGAGGCCTCTGGAGCCCAGCCAGGCATTGGCAGTCCACGGCCTCCTAGACCAGTAAGGAGATTTTATGTCCTATATTTTAAAGGAAAAATGTAAAAGTGCGTGTAATTGAGCATCAAAAAAGATGAAGTTGCTCACACCTGTAATCCTAACTACTCAGGAGGCTGAGATCTGAGGACTGCAGTTCAAAGCTTTCCTGGATAGGAAAGACTCTGATATCCAATTAACCACCAAAAAGCCAGAAGTGGAACTATGTATGGCTCAAGTGCTAGCCTTAAACACAAAGTTCAAGGACAGCACCACATCCTTAGCTCAAACCCAGAGCTAGCACAAAAACAATAACAACAAATGTTACATCTGTTAGTATTATCCCCACCTTTGGTCCTCAGCTCCACCGAGACCTGAGCTCCTCCCTGACCTCGAGTTTCTGCCATACAGCTGGCCATTCCCTCTCGGCCTAGGCACACACTTAACTCACTTCCGCCCTCACTTCCTTCCACCCAGACCTGCCCACAGCTGGGATAGTGGCCTAAGCCATGTGCTCCCTCTCATGGGGAGATATGGCCCCTCTAATAAACCTTACAATAATCTTTCTCCTGCGCTGCAATCTGCATGGTCCCCTATACCTTCCCAGCCCCCGTGCACACATTTTCTTGACCTCACCTTGAACAGTAGTTGTGGAGGCTGAATGTGGTCAGCAGGTAGGTCAGAGGGTGAAGATGGCTGTCACATTGTGATACCTCAATGTCAGCTGTTACATGTACTTAAGACTCAGATTGACTAGGCACTAGTGCTCACACATATAATCCTACATATTTAGAAGTGATATAATTGGGTGTTTACCTTTATTTTCTATAAACTGATAGCTTTATGTTACAAAAAGAATAAAATGTCATTACTATCATTAGTCCAGGAGTAAAGAAAAATATAAAATGGAGGTTGCTAGGCATTGTTAACACTGTGGCATACTTCCTTCTATATTATTCCACTTTTAATTTCAATTTTTTTCTTCTTAAAAGTATAGCACCAGTGGTTAATGATTCTAATTCTAGTGACTCAGGAGGCTGAGATCACATTTTGAAGGCAGCCTGGGAAGGGAAGTCTATGAGACTCGTATCTCTAATTAAGCACCAAAAAAAGCCAGAAGTGGAGCCTGTGGCTCAAGTGGTAGAGTGCTAGCCTTGAACAAAAAAGTTAAGGGACAGTACCCAGGCCCTGAGTGCTGTATATAATATCACACATACTTACACACACATACATATGTATAATATGTGTGTATTTGTGTGTTATATAGTGGCCAGGCACTGGTGGCCTGTAATCCTACCAACTCAGAAGGCTGAGATCTGAGGATCAGTTTAAAGCCAGCTCAGCAATACGATTCTTATTATCTTCAATTATAGCAAAAAGCCAAAAGTGGATCTGTGGCTCAAGTAGTAGAGCACTAGCCTAGAGTGGAAAAAAAAGAAGCAAAAACATGAGGTCTTGAGTTCACTGTCACCTGATAGGAAAAGAAAACTTATTCCATGAATGCATGGATTTTTTTTCTTTATAATTTTTTTTTTTTAATTCAGGGCTCTGGTAACTGTCCCTAAGCTTTTTTGCGTAAGGCTTGCACTCTACCACTTTAGCCATAGATCTATTTCTGGCTTTTTTAGTGGTTCATTGGTTAAGTCTCATGGACTTTTCTGTCTGGACTAGCTTTGAACCAGAATCATCAAATGTCAGCCACATGAGTAGCTAGGATTACAGGCAAGTGCCTGGTATTTGTTGCTTTTACACTTATGCTTGCAACAATAACTTGAACGTGAACAGGCATTCACCTACAATTCTAGCTACTTAGGAGGCTGAGATCTATGAGGATTGAGGTTCAAAGCCAACCTGGGCAGGGAAGTCTTGTCTCTCCAATTAACTATAAAAAGCTGGAAATGATGCTGTGACTCAAGTGGTAGAACATTAGCCTTGTGCACAAAAGCTCAGGGACAATTCCCAGGCCCTGAATTCAAACCCCAGGGTGGGCACACACAAAAAATCTAATCAAACTCTGGATGCTGGATTCTGGTAAGTAAAAGATTTCATTGACCATGTTATGCTGTTTTAGAAAGAGCTAATTTAAGCCAGGTACTGATGGCTTACACCTGTAAATCCTAGCTACTTAAGATGCTGAGATGCAGTGAATTGAAATTGAAGCTAACCCAGCAAGAACAGTCCAGAAAACTCCATCTCCAAGGAATCAGCAAAATGCTGAAATGAAGGCTCTGTTCATGCTCAAGTGTTGAGCACCAGTTGTGAGCAAGCAAGTTGAGCCAGTGCAAAGCCAAAGCTAGCTAGGACAGAAAGGTCCATAAGACTCCATTTCCAAAAACAAAAAACAAAAAATAGGCCTAAAAGCATGGTTCAGGTTGTAGAGTACCATGCATATGAGCTCAAGCCTGAGTTTGAACCTCAGTATTGCCTTCACAAACTATGTATTTAACAGAAATCATTACCTGGTTTGTTATTGCTTTATAAGATTTTAAAAATTAAACCCTCTCTTTAATATGAAGCAAATTATATGTTACAGGATTTCAATGTTGTAAGTTGAACTTAATAACTGAGTCTTGGAAGTTAAGTAGGTTAATTAGTTCATCTTAGTTTTCTCTTCTTTTGATTTTACCTTTTTTCTGGTCCTGGGGCTTGGACTCAAGGCCTGGGCTCTGTCTCTGAGCCTCTCTGTGCTTAAGGCTAGTGTTTTACCACTTGCACCACAGTGCCACTTCTGGCTTTTTTTTTTTAGTAGTTTATTGAAGGTAAGAGTCTCATGGACTTTCCTGTCCAGGCTGGCTTTGAACTGTGATCTTCAGATCTCAGCCATGGTGAACTACTGGCACCTGGTATAAGTTCATCTTTGTGTGTGTGTGTGTGTGTGTGCGCGCGTGCACGCGCGCGCCAGCACTGGTTCTCAAACTCAGGGCCTGGGTGCTATCATTGAGCCATTTTTTGTGTGTGCTTAACTCTAGTGCTACCACTTGGTCCACAGCTCTCCTTCCCACTTTTTGGTGGTTAATTGGAGATAAGAATCCTACAGACCTTCATGCCCAGGCTAGCTTTGAGCTATGGGTCTCAGATCTCAGCTCCTCATTAGGATTATAGGTGTAAGCCACTGGTGCCCACCCAGCTCATCTATTTTTTTTTTATCAACCTCTTCCTTCCTGTTTGTATTTCATAGTTCTTCACTGTGCTTTTATTCTAGATGCCCCAGACTAGAAGGAGCCTGCACACGCACCCCTTGCCAGCATGGTGGCACCTGCGTGGACCACTGGTCCTGGCAGCAGTGTCGCTGCAGAGAGGGCCTGGCTGGGAAATACTGTGAGAAATGTAGGTGTCCAGCCCTGCTCACTGGGAACATATGCATCTGAATACACCACTGCGTCAGTAAAGCCAGGCCCTTGTATTAAACATGCCTTCTTTTAACATACAACAGTTGGTCAAATACAGTGACGTATTTAATTAGTTTCTTTAAACGAAAAAGAGTGACACCTTTGAAAGAATTGTCACTGCATCTGATTCTTTCTGAATATATTATTACTTTGTGTGTTATCTTCTGGAATGCTAAGAATTTTAAAAGAATTTTCAGGTGGTGCTTTATTGTTGCTTATCATCTAGGGATATTTCTCTAGTTATTTCTTTAGTGGATTTACTTAATATGCATTATTTATAATATATATGATATGTTATATATATATTTACCATATATACTTTTATATATATATATATATATATATATATATATATATATATATATATGGGTATTAGATATATCCACTAAATCATTGAGTACTGAGCTAAAACTAGCACACAACAGCCACAAAATATATGAAAGGCAAGATATCAATTTTAATTTGCAGTGAACTAATTCATTTTGAATAATAACTTAAATTCTTTCATCAGTTCTTGTCTTTTATGCTCTGATTTTCTTGTCATAAAGACAGTAATAACATCCAAACCATAGTTAGAAAGTGAAGTTCGGTGGTTTCCAGCTGTATATTACATTAGCAACCTCTAATGGGCCCTCTTTCATTAAGATTATATATATATATAACCATATATATAATTTTTTTCAAGTAAATTTTTAGTACTTAATTCAGTGGAAGTGTCTGATATCTTTTGTGTATGTGTCAGTCCTGGGGCTTAATTCTAGGGTCTTTTGTGCTCAAGGCTGACACTTGAGCCACAGCTCTACTGTGAGGTTTTTTGTTGCTAATTGGAGGTAAGAACCTCATGAACTTTTCTGCCAGGGCTGGCTTTGAATCTTGATCCTGAGGTCTCAGACTCCTGAGTAGCTAGGATTACAGGCATGAGCCAAGGAATTTTTAAGTGCATATTTTCAGCACTTGAATATATGCTGAAATTACTATTGTCCTTTGTATTAATTTTTGTCAGCATAGAAAGTGCTCCAATAGAAGGAAACCTGATAATGGTGGCTTTTGGGGGGTGAAAGGGGTGTGTATTAGAGGTGGTGAGGTTGAATGGAGTCCAGCATATATAGGCATGGAGCGTGAAGATACAACAATGACATTCCCATTACCACTACCACCCTTGCTTTATAACTGAAAGAAAGTGTTGCCAGAAATGGGTTATATATGAGACTCATTTTTTTGCTCTTCTCTGTCTTTCAGCTATTACTCCAGACACAGCCTTGTCTTTAGAAGGCAAAGGACGTCTGGATTACCACATGAGCCAGAATGAGAAGAGGGAGCATCTGCTGAGGCAGAGCCTGCGAGGGGCCCCAGTGGAACCTTATGGTGTGAACAGTCTGGAAGTCAAATTCAGGACAAGAAGTGAGAATGGAATTTTAATCCACATCCAAGAAAGCAGCAACTACACAACAGTTAAGGTAGGATGAACGCTTATGGTGACTTCATCATGGGGGTAGTGGGGGGACTGCCCATGGCATTGCTCACCTCTTACAGTGTCTAGACTTTTCTTTGCAAGCTCTTAAAGGGCTCACCAAGGCAGGACTCCAAGCATCAGCCAGAGCAACAGAGCTCGGAAAAAATTGCTTTCTAAACAACTTAGTATTGGTTGACAGTAGAGAACTATGCAGGATAGGAAAGCACAAATCTTTATTGCAAAGCTCATAATCCCAGCTTCTCAGAAGGCTGAGATTTGAGGATTTGGTTCAAAGCTAGTCTAGTCTGGGCAGAAAAGTTCATGAGACTCATTATCTCCAACTGGCCAGCGAAAAGCCAGAAGTGGAGGTATGGCTTAAGTGGTAGAGTGCTAGACTTGAGTGAAAAACCAAGCAAGAGCAAGAGACCCTGATTTCAAGACCAATTATGGAGCTTTGTGGGAGTCTATTTTGCTTGATTAAATTTTTAATAGTGGGGCTTTGCCTAGCTTTAAGCAAAGCAAAGGAAAACCATACAGTGCTGACTTGTGGAATTAAACTCCCCTGCAAATTGTACAGCTATATTAAAAAAAAGACATGCTGTGGTTTTGAAATAGAAAGCTCATCCCTTGCCCCCACTAGAAAATAAACATGAAGAGTAGGTTGTTTGTTATATGATTAGAGTAAATATTCCAGATTAAGAACTTTATTCAGGAGTATATGTTCAAGTCACAAGCTAGGCAAACTATGAAATTACCTGTATGTGAGATTTCTTGAAAGCAGATCACCTCATCTCTTCAAATAATGTTAAAACATTAGCTGTATAATTCTACATGCCAACAATTATATATAAATTTTAGTAAATTACTTATATTTGTGTGTGTCATTAATTGGGCCTGAAATCAGGACTAGGTGCTTTTTTACTCAAACTATACTTTACCACTTGAGCTCTTTCTTTAAAAATATTTTTTATTTAGTTTTAAGTAGCTATACAGAGTGGTTTCACATTCCCCATGTCAGTTTGTGAGTGCAATGCATCTCTATTGAAGCCCTCCCCTTCCAACTCCTCCCTCATCTCTCCTAACCTCACCCACCCCTCAAGTGACTGGGTTCCATTTTCACATATGCACATTGAATATGATGACTCTATTTGCGCACTTGTCCTCTCTCCATCATTCTCCTACATGTGGAGCACTTTAATAATCCTCAGTGTTGGACTATATCTTTGCTCCAAAGCAGTTCTGTTGTTTCTCTAAGTTTATTTAGATAAATGCAGATATAAGGTAAATTATATATTCTCAGATCTATGAATTTAAAACTAAATAAATTAATAATCATATAAACAACAGCAAAACATCATGATAGTATTTGGAACATTAGGAAGGCTGTGTTAGGTGGAATGCTGCAAGAGAGAAGATAAACATTAAAAACATTAGTGTGGGAAGTTCTCTTCTTGTCAGTCTGTTTATACATTTGGCATATGGAAAATGCCCTTCTAATAGACATTCATTGATGGAGAGATACATAGGAGAGACACACACAGCTGGTTGAAGAACCAATCAGACTTTTCTGATTACTAGTTGCTCATACCTACAATTCTAGATACTCAGGAAGCTGAGATCTGTTGAGCCCAGTTCAAAGCCAGCCTGGGAAGATGAATCCAAGAGAGTCATATCTCTAATTAGCCAGTAAAATGTCAGAAGAGGAATTGTGGTTCAAGTGGTAGAGCACCAGATTTGAGTAAAAAAGCTAAGCAAAACTGTGAAGCCTTGAGTTCAAGCCCTAGTACCAACACAAGAAAAAAGACATTGCTGTTTCTATCATGTATCCTTACTTGCTGCTCACTGTTATAATTATGTTAAATGTTATTTAACTTCAATTCCTCTATCTTTTCTGCTATGTGAATTTGGTATTGATACACACACACACACACACACACACACACACACACATTCTATCTGGAAAGAGTCTTTCATAAAACATTACTATATGACCAACGTACGTAAATGCATTCAGCATATTTTGCATGAAGTACCAATGTGCTGATTTGGAGCTCTCCCAGATGCCTACATTGCATGGAGAAACAACATTTGATCTGAGTCACACAGTGAACAGCTCTGTCTTTCCATTTCCTCTATTCAAGGCAGGGTGCCACTCACACTAGCGCCAAGACACCAGCTTTATCTGGCAGTGGAATGGTACTGTGCTCCCTGAAACAAATGTTCATCTAGCTCATGAATTATTCCATTTTTTAAATTGGTCTACTCATAGGGAAGGGAGCTTGGTGGCTGCTCGCAGGAGCAGGGCATCTGTGTCTTCTGGGTTTCTCTGGGGAGGGGAGGTAAACTAACACCTTAGGAAACATGAAAAAGCAAACCCAACCCAAAAAGTCATCTAGCCTTCCATGATCAACAAGTCATTCTTTGCTCTTCAGCTTCATTCCAAGAAATGTTATAGCCTAGCTATTTAATTGGTTGAGAGCTGAGGATCACTCTCTGAAGCTAGCCTAGGGAGAAAAGCCCAAGAGACTCCTACCTCCAATTAACCAGCAAAATGCTGGAAGTGGAGCTGTGGCTCAAGTGGTAGAGCGTCAGCACTGAATGGAAAGGCTAAGGAATAAGTGCCCAGGCCCTGAGTTCAAGACATAGCTCCTACACATATACATGTACCAAAAGAAATAACACATCATTTCTTTCTTAAAATTATTATACACATCATTTCTTTCTTAAATTTCCAATGGGTAATAGATGAGAGGGCAAAGAATTTATTTTGGTCTTGATTTTTCCAACTATACTTCTTTTATACTGAGTACTCATTTTATATTTTGCAAGTGATAATAGCATTTTTGATGGCCATAGGCTATTTGTCAAACCAGACAAATAAAATACATGAAATATTTGATATTGAAATAGAGTATTCCCAAAAGATGTTATTTATCTAAATAGCTATTCACTCCATTATTAAATCGTGTTCTTATAAAATAATTCTGTGCATCTCAAGAAGCTAAATATAGACAAAAGCTATTGATGGAGAATATGAAGAACAACTGCATTCAATTTCTTGTTCAAAAGTTATTATATAAGCCAGTTGCTGGTGATTGATGATTGTAATCCTAGCAGTTCAAGAGCATGAGAACCTGAGTTCAAACCCTAGTCCCAACACACATACACACACAAAGTAATTATTTAAGATTTGCACACTGTGTTATACTTTACAAATAGGACCATACTAATGCTCAAACAATGTATTCAAAGAGTAGCTTCAGTAATGCAAATATAAATGTAAAATGTAATAAAAGAAAACTACTGAAAACACTAAATAGTAAGTTACTACCTAAAATTGCAGAAGATACATGCTAACACCGTCTAATACTAGCAGAGATACTTTCTTTATGCAGACTGCTTAGATGAATCAGTCTTTTAAAAATTCAATTCTAAAGCTGGCTGCCAATGGCTCATGACTATAATTCTAGCTACTCAGGAGGCTGGGATCTGAGTATCACAGTTCAAAGCCAGCCTGGGCAAGAAAGCTCAAGAGACTCTTATCTCTAATGAAAAAGCCAGAAGTAGAGCTGTGGCTTGAGTGGTAGAGAACTACCACTATGAGCAAAAATGCCCATAGACAGCTTCCAGGTCTTGAGTAAAAGTCACAGGACTGGCATGTACACATGCACACATGCACACGTGTACACACACACACAGATTCAGTTCTATAAGTTTGTATATTTAAACATGTATTTCATTTGGTCTTATTTTTAATTAATTTTTTTGACAGATCAAGAATGGGAAAGTACATTTCACTTCTGATGCAGGGATTGCTGGGAAAGTGGAGAGAAATATTCCTGAAGTTTATGTTGCGGATGGACACTGGCATACTTTCTTAATTGGGAAGAATGGAAGTGCCACGGTATTGTCCATTGACAGAATGTATAGCAGAGATATCCTTCACCCCACTCAGGATTTTGGTGGTCTCGATGTGCTCACCATATCTCTTGGTGGAATTCCACCCAACCAAGCTCACAGAGATGCCCAAACAGGTAATTGCTTGAGTATAGCCATGAAAGAAAGGGAAAAAACATGTTCTCAGTTGGGAATTTTTGTGACCAAACAGGTAGAATTTGCTTACTTAACAGGAACTCCCAACTCAGGATGATTTGTTGCAATAAAGGGTTTTGCAAAAGTAGCACCAGTGAAGATGGCTTTAAGACCACCTCAAGTGCATTTAGAAAATTTAGAAACAATAAATGCTGGCCATCATCTCCTTTATTCACTTATATCTATTCTACCAAGGTCATAATTCACCCGTTTTTATGCTTTGCTTGTCTGCTGAGCTAGTGTTTACTCATTCCTGAATTCATAATTATGCTGTCCATGGGGCATGTGAGAAAAGGGAGACAAATGTTAATCAAACCCTTACACAAATCAATATAGTATTTTAACTTAACAAAAATGATGTGAAGGATGGATGCAAAGTAGTAAGAGAACGTGAAGGAAGTAATGGAAACCTTTGTACACTTACATGTGAATGATGAAGCCAGGTGCTGGTGATTATGTCTGAAATATTTGCTATTCAGGATGCTGAGAAATCAGATGGCAGTTCAAACCAGCCTGAACAGAAAAGACTCTTATCTTCAGCTAACCAGAAAGAAGCTATAAGTGGAGATGTGGCTCAAGTGATAGAGCACTAGCCTTAAACCAGAAAGCTCAGTAACAGTGTCCACCCCCTGAGTTCATGCCCTAGGACCCCACAAAAAAAGTAGACAAAGGAGAGAGACATGATGTGTTCTAGAAAGTTAAACAAATCACTAGTGTTTTTTTTTTCATGCTTGTGTGTTCCACCCACTCTGTTGATATTGCATGACCTTGTAGCTGAACCTCTTGGCCTACTTTTTTTTTTTTTTTTTTTGGTGGTATTGCTGTTGTTAGTGATTAAAAAATAATTTGGATTGTGTGCCGTGTTCCCTTCAAGGCGCTTGATCTCAAAAGCCTTGTGTTCTGACTTGGCTTTTTCCACTCAAGACTGGTGCTCTACTACTTGAGCCACACCTCCAGTTCCAACTTATGGCTGGTTAATTAGAGTTTTCCCTGGGCTGGCTTTGAACAGTTATCCATCTCAGCCCCCTGAATAGCTCAGATTACAGGGTGAGCCATCAGCACCCAGAATTGGATTTAGTTCTAAGTAGCAATTTAAAGTACACAGATTGCAAAAGCAGAGCCAGAACATGATTAAACCGAGCAAGAGAGAGATTGAAGACACTGAAGTCTGTTTGGCTAATTCCTAAGGCTTCAGGTGGTATAAACCAGTCCCTTCTGCACTTCCGGGAAACTTTACTCACCCTGCTGACTCAACTCGCATGGATTTCCGATCTTGTAGCTGGAGGGCGGAATTAACTCTAGTTTCTAAGGATCCGGTATGGGCGGCTTCTCAGGATGTGATTGGGCGGCTTCTCAGCTTCCGTTACTCTTCCTTGCAGGGCTCAGCGGCTGCATTGCTTGGGTGTTATATGGAGGTGAAAGTCTCCCTTTCAGCGGGAAGCACAGCTTGGCCTCCATCTCGAAAACAGATCCCTCGGTGAAGATCGGCTGTCGCGGGCCCAACATCTGTGCCAGCAACCCCTGCTGGGGCGACCTGCTGTGCCTGAACCAGTGGTATGCATACAAGTGCGTTCCTCCCGGGGACTGCGCCTCCCACCCATGCCAGAACGGGGGCAGCTGCGAGCCTGGCCTCGTCTCGGATTTCACCTGCAGCTGCCCTGAGTCGCACACGGGGCGGACCTGTGAGACCGTGGTGGCCTGCCTGGGCATCCTGTGCCCCCAGGGCAAAGTGTGCAAGGCTGGAAGTCACGGAGGGCACGTGTGCGTGTTGAGCCCCAGCCCGGAGGAGATCTCGCTCCCCCTGTGGGCCGTGCCCGCCATCGTGGGCAGTTGCGCCACCGTCCTCGCCTTCTTGGTCCTCAGCCTCATAGTGTGCAATCAGTGCCGAGGGAAGAAAGGCAAGAGTCCAAAGCAGGACAAGAAACCGAAGGAGAAGAAGAAGAAGAAAAAGAAGAAGAAAGGCAGCGAGAACGTCGCTTTCGATGACCCAGACAACATCCCTTCCTACGCGGACGACCTGACAGTGAGAAAGCAGCCCGAGGGGAACCCCAAGCCGGACATCATCGAGCGGGAGAACCCCTATCTCATCTACGACGAGACGGGGCTCCCCCACGGTGCGGAGACCGTGCCCAGCGCGCCCCTGGCCTCCCCGGAGCAGGAGATCGAGCACTATGACATCGACAATGCCAGCAGCATCGCGCCCTCGGACGCCGACATCATCCAGCACTACAAGCAGTTCCGCAGCCACACGCCCAAGTTCTCCATCCAGAGGCACAGCCCGCTGGGCTTCGCCCGGCAGTCCCCCATGCCCCTGGGCGCCAGCAGCCTCACCTACCAGCCCCCCTACGGGCCCGGGCTGAGAAGCGGCTCGCTCAGCCACTCGGCTTGTCCCACCCCCAACCCTCTGTCTCGACACAGCCCAGCGCCTTTCTCCAAATCATCTACTTTCTACAGTAACAGCCCAGCCAGGGAGCTCCATCTTCCTCTGAGAGATGGAAACACGTTGGAAATGCACGACACCTGCCAACCTGGCCTTTTCAACTATGCCACGAGGCTGGGGAGGAGGAGCAAGAGTCCGCAGGCCATGGTGGCTCACGGCTCCAGACCGGGGAGTCGCCTCAAGCAGCCGATCGGGCAGATTCCGCTGGACTCCTCCCCGCCGGTGGGACTCTCCATCGAAGAGGTGGAGAGGCTGAACACCCCGCGCCCGCGGAACCCCAGCATCTGCAGCGCCGACCACGGGAGGTCCTCGTCGGAGGAGGACTGCCGACGCCCGCTGTCCAGAACCCGGAACCCGGCCGACGGTATTCCGGCTCCGGAGTCTTCCTCCGACAGCGACTCGCACGAGTCCTTCACCTGCTCGGAGATGGAGTACGACCGCGAGAAGCCGATGGCCTACATGTCCAGGGTGCCCAAGCTCTCCCAGGTCAACGAGTCGGACGCCGATGACGAGGACAACTACGGCGCCAGGCTGAAGCCTCGGCGGTTCCACGGGCGCCGGGCGGAGGGCGGCCCCGCGGGGCCCCAGGCGGCAGCCGCGGGCGACGGCACGCTGAGGCCGGGCCAGCCGGCGGGCGGCTTCAGCTGGGACAGCCTCCTGAGCTGGGGGCCCGGCTTCGGCCACTATGCTGACGTCTTCATCGACTTGGCGTCTCTCCCAGAAAAGGCGGCGGGCAAAGAAGAAGCCGGGGCCGCGAAGCCTGGCCCCGCGGAGGGCGAGGCCGAGCAGCGCGCATGAGGCGCCCGGCAGGGGAGGGGAAAGCCAGAACCCCGACCCGCGGGGCGATCGCGGACCGAGTGTGGACCCCACTCACAGAGGGCCCTCGGAGGCCCTCGGTGGACGGACGCGTGGGAGGGCAAACCCCAGGCTGCTGAGACAGACTCGAAATGACTCCTAATTCAATCCTGTTCCGTTGTATTTTTTGCCTGCATGCGTGGTGTTTGGTAACCAGTCACATGGCTTGCAACGTTGGGCAAGTTTGGCTGATGAGTCAGTGTTTGGTTGTTGTGATTTTTCTTTTTTGGGGGTTAATGAGTAACGGTTACCATTACAGAAATGGCGGGGGATGTGGTAGGGTTTCCATTGTGTTGTTATGATTGCGTTTTACGTGGCAAGATCCTTGAGATGCAGCCCGGCCCTTGTAAAGTATAGAAAAAAGCTTTCCACTTGTTTTGTGGAAGACTACGTATTAACACTTTTCAGAACTAGAGCTTGCGTATTCAGTGGTGCTTAGAAATGGTTCAGTTTGCTTGCGTGTAATGGGACATTGGGTACTGAAGTTAAGTCAGCACTTTCATGCTTTCTGACGAAAGAGTGTTCAAACATGCGCACCTCTCCGGATCAGTTGCGGCCCTCTGACTTTTCCTCGCTCTTCCACGAGGAACCAAGGACTGTATTCTGTCCCCAAACATGGCTACCTTCCTAGTGTGAAACCTTTAAAAGTTATTTATTGAAATAAAAAAGTTCTATGCTTTTAACATTTAACAAATTGAATTAAACAAAGCTATGATTGGACTGACATTTTCCATCCATTTAGCATTCACCCCAAGTACCCAGGTTTAAAAAAATAATTTATGTAAAGTCCAATTGCAATACTTTTTACTTCCTGTGATTTTTGTAGATCATGTTTTTAATACTGTGTGTAAAGTCTTTTTTATTTTTGTTTTGTTTTTTTTTACACCTGAGCTGTGTTTTTGATAGATATTTTCCTATGCCTAATGATTTTCTTACTTTCAGGGAAGGTAAGAAAAGACTTTTTTTATATTTGTTACTTATGTAACATTCCTATTTTCCACATTTTTGATATTTGTAACATATGGTATGCCTTTCTACTTTGTAAATGCCAACAATAGAATTAAATATTTATTTAAAATACATTGTATTCATGTCCTGTACTTGTAAATAGGGACTGTTATATTGAATTTAGTGGGACAGCAGCATTTAAAAACTGAAACAGTACCATAGTGGCTCATGTTTGTAATCCTAGCTACTCAGGAGATAGAGATCTGAGGATCATGGTTCAAAGCCAGGTTAAGCAAGAAAGTCTTCAGTTAACCAGCAAAAATAAATAATAAGTCAATTAAGTGAAGATGTGGCTCAAACGGTAAAGTGCTAGCCTTGAGCAAAATAGCAGGACTATGGGACATTTTCCAGAAGAGATGCCACAAGGTCATTTTAGTGCATTCCTACTAAAATGAGCACAGAGCTAGTGGATTCTTCTGGGATTTGAGGAATCTAGACTAATTTTGTCTTACAAGACTGATATTACTAGGAATCTACATTAAATATTCCACTATTGAATATTTGTAAGTTCTTCTTAGAATATTTTCACTGAAGCCGAGCACTGGTGGCTCACGCCTGTAATCCTAGCTACTCAGGAGGATGAGATCTGAGGATCGGCGGTTCAAAGCCAGCCCGGGCAGGAGAGACCGTGAGACTCTTATCTCCAATAAACCACCAGAAAACCGGAAGTGGTGCTGTAGCTCAAGTGGTAGAGCGCTCGCCTTGAGCTGAAGAGCTGAGGGACAGCGCCCAGGCCCAGAGTTCAAGCCCCACAACCGACCAAAAAAAAAAAATATTTTCACTGAAAGCCATCTTGAGGCTGGGCATAAAGAAGCAGCAGTGAATTAAAACTGATCTGGAGAAGCACCTAGTTCTCATTTCCTCCACCAACCCAGCTCAATTTCATAGCAGTCAACGATCTCTTCCATGTTTTAATCTTTAATTTATGGATCTCTCTGAATACATTCTACAGGCTGTCTAATGGCAAGTCTATTTTCCAATATTCCTGAATAGTGAAAACAACCCAGAAGAGAACGGCAGAGAGCATGAGAGAATTGTTTCTCAAGTAGCCACACTGAGGTGTTAAAGTTGCTGGAAAGACCATGCAACCGCAGAATATTTTAGAATCAGATATCTCCATCAAATTTAATATTTATGGACAACATATTTCTACACTAATGAGTACATGGAAAACATTTTATAATGGAAATATTTTAAAATCAGCACCAACAAGTTGAGATAAGGACAATTATTTTGGCACTTAATAATGCTGACATAATTATTTTTGCTTCAGAAGAAAAAAAGGTCAAATACTAAAATCATAGTATATGCTGAATGTGGTTTGGATACTGAGTGTTGGACACTAATTTTCTATCTCTCATTTTTTGATCGCCTATGATGAGCCAACATGGTTTCAATTTTTTTGTTTCCCTATGAAATTTCAGCATCATGAGTTTATTCCCCAAATATGGGAACATGTTGATGTTTTGTGTAACTAGAAACAATGGTGTTTTTTTGTTTTTGTTTTGTTTTATGGAGAACTTCCCAAACATCTAAATGTGCTCAAGGTTATAAACTCTAATTCAGAACAGAGTTGATAGTATCGAAGCACTCAGGGAAGTTAACTTGATGCCCGGGTTTTTTGTGTTCTTTTTCTCTTATTGCTTTGTGAGATAGAGCAAATTCTCTTGAATTATGGATCTGAGTGCAGGACCAAGATAGTATTCTTATAGGAAAACACCTAGTATTTTTCTTCACAGAATCTTTTTCAGTGAAGCAAGAACAATATTTATAGCAAACTAGATCAGAAATGTAATAAAAGATTTCACTGAAAACAGAGATGGTTAGGCACAAGTGCTCCCACCTGCAATCCTAGCTACTCAGGAGGCTGTGATCTGAGGACTGTCCTTCAAAGCCTGCAGGACTTTGAAGGAAAGTCCCTGAGATTCTTATCTCAAATTAACAAGCAAAAAGATGGAAGTAGAACTGTGGTACTCTTGGTAGAGTAACAGTCTTGAGCAAAATAGTTAAGTGAAATCTAGAGGCCCTGAGTTCAAGACCCAATACCAGAACCAAAAAAAGAAAAAAAATGGAGATTAATTTACTGAATTATGAAGTAATGTGGCACACACAATTGGGCTGCATTATTGTAAACAATTTGACAAAGTAACAATCTCCATAAATAAATGGATGGTACTGAACTGTGGTTCACACACAAAATCAAGCATTAGAATTCAAATTGCTCCCAGTCCCTCAAAGGTCTTTTGGGATTTCATGGTGCATACACACTCATTTAATACCCCTTGCATCTTCTCCCAGAGAAACATTGCCTGCAAACTGAAAATACCCCAGGTATTTGGTCCTGATCATGTGAGGATCAGGGAGTAGATCATGTGATCATAGTCTGGAGGACTGGGCTTAAGAGACCATGAACTCTGCTTGCTTCTTACCAACAGCTTTGCTGTGGCTATCAAGCTGTTTCAGAATTTTCTAAATGAGCAGATTCTTGGATAGCTTATTAAGATAAATTAAAACCACTTTAACAAATGGAGAACTAGAAGAGCCTGGAGAACAACTCCCAGTTAAAGTATTAACGAAATGCTTTACGCACAACAAGATTGATGAGAAACATAATGCTTTCAATGTGGAAACTTGGGTTCTTTATAAATATTTTATTTGTAAGGGAAACTAAGTTACATCCCTTGAAACTTTATTAGTTCCTGAGATTCCATCAAGAATAAATCACTATTGTGACATAAATGCATTTTATTTATCTGGAATCCCACACAATGATAAATCTGTGAGCCTCAGAATGAATTTTAAATATTGGAATCAATAAGTTTTGCTGTTATTCTTTTTCCGACTTTATTTGGGTCATAACTTCAAGATGACTGAAATTATTTGCCTTATGAAAAGGAAGCCTACAAAGGGAATATATTTTAGCACATTATTTAGGCTTTCTGTATGCAATAAAGCATTACAATCTGTCATTAATCAAGCTTATGTCCCTTATATAATGGCCAGTAGTTTAGTGTGTGTGTGTGTGTGTGTGTGTGTGTGTGTGTGTGTATGGTTAATTGGAGGTGAGTCTCTCGGACTTTCCCTCCATCCTCAGATCTTAGCCCCCTAAGAAGCTAGGATGGTACCCAGCAAATCAGCCAAAAGTCTTAATGATTTGTCAATGCAAGTGTTACCACTACACCCAAATGGCTTTGAATAGATTTTATTGATGGATAAAATTTATAGGTGGCTCCACTATTGTATCACTGATAAATTGTTTTCAAAGCTTGTTGTTATTTCAGTAGGATATATGTATAGTGTCCTAAAGTGGCATTGTGATATAAACATATATTTCTAACATTAACCATGAAAACTCTTGGAAGAAATCTTTTGTCAGTAGCATCTAAACGATGAACCCATAATTGTGTCAGAAGTCACAGAAATTATAAGTTCTTAAAATGTGTAAATTGAAACACGTACAGATAATCTAAATTCTGAACATATTAGACAAAGGACTGACTCATGAAATCTTCAGGTATTGAATATTCAAAGTTGATTCACCAGGATGAATTCTTGAAGGAATGGGAAGAAACACAGAGTGTTTTAAGCAGCATTGTGAGAAGGCAGGTGATCCTCAGGTGACCCAGTTGGATTCTTCCAAGTCTGTCAGTTTACAAATTGGTTTTCCAACTCCCAAATCAGTCACCATGATATCCTGATAGAAAATAAGGATCATGATTCATGTAACATTCTAGAACAAATAAAATACCCAGTGATGTACAAAGTTTCTTGGAAATGTTGCCAGGTTCTCTGTGTCAAATTGAAACCATATTTTCTGTGGTACAGATGCTGAACAAACTTAGACTCCCATTTTCCCATACCTTGTCATCTTCCCTCTGGTTTCCTTGTGAGCTTCTTGTCATTTCTGAATCAGGATGCCCTAGGAAACAGTTGTGCCATCCACATCTTTGGATCTAAAAAATGAAACAGTGTAGGAAATGGTCTTTTAAGAGCAAAAAGTAAAATAAAAAAACACAGTATGATTAAAACAATGAACTCCATAGTCC